GAACACTGAGAGGCAGGCTATTGTAAACTGTTACACTAGCATTGTTTGGATTGACAAATTTATGAACATTTTATAATTTCTGTTAACTATGAGCTTTACAATACAATCTCTCACTAAGCACAAAGTATATCTTTTTAACTTAGCAAAATTTTAAGGTTTTAGGTTACCACAAAGATTTTTAGGCTGTAGATAGGTATACACACTGTAACACACAATTAAAAAGGTGTTCTCTTGCCACAGTTACTTAGTTCACTCATTCATAACAACTATGCTAGATTACTTACAAGACCTTTACTGAATATTAAACAAAGCTAAGCCTTTAAGCATTCTATTCTTAAAAGATTTAGCAGATAACATCAACTTAAATGACCTTAGGTAAACTTAGGCAGCTGATAACCACAAGGACATGCCTGCCTCGGCCAAACGCAAATTAACATTAATGCTTAACATTTTTTTATCAGATTTTCTGGAAGTTTTAGAATGCCCAATTTTCACAAGTGCCTTTTTTTTATTTTTATTAATACCATCTGGAGGTAGGAAAATATTTTTCATTTACACACTTAGACACAAACATACAAACTGAGACACGACTACAGACACGACTACAGTCAGCAACACCTCTTACACAAAAACATATACACAGACAGACAAACTGATATAAAGACTTGAGTCACTGATACTCAATTGCCTTCCCTCTCAGCTTCCTGTCTGTGGCTTCCGGAACCAGAGGGTGGGAAGAGCGTGTTCTGGTGGTGGAAGAGGGCTGTGAAGGCAGAAGGAAAGGAGGACGGGGTGGTGCAGTCACTGGAAGAGGAGAGCAGTACAATGGCATGGTTGAGAATGTAGGACTTTAATCTGGGGGCAACACGTGTGAAGACAAAGGACTTAAAGATGGTGGTGGAGGGAGGTGGCATCACGAGCTGAGGGAGGCAGGCGACTGAGGTCTTCTGGCGAATCTGAAAAGGAAGAAGGACTGGACAGACTAAGAGGCTGACAATCTTTATCTGGAGATCAGGCTAGGAGAACCTGAGTCATTGAACACTTAACATAAAGGTCTGGGCAGGAGTGCAAAGTCCAAAAAGCCTGCACATACGGGATTTCACTCTACTCTCCACTCTAGTGGTAATAATTAATCAAGTCAGTGAGGAGGCCAAAATTGAAACTTCCCTCAGGGGGCCAGCGAGATTGATTGTCTAAGGGATACTGAGGCCCGGCCTCAGAGTAAAGAAAGACTAGCTTCCATTTGCAAACTTCCCGGGACAAATATAGAGTAGCCAAATTAGAAATGAGACACCGCAACAGGGTCTGAGCCTCCACTTTTGAGGGCTGATTCCCCTTGTCTGCGCCACTTCCCAACTAATCCCGCTGAGAGGAGTGCCCAGCGTCCCAAGCACGCCAAGTCAGGGGAGACATCCTGGGAGCCTGGGTGAGGGATGTCTCCCACACTGTAGGGCCAGGGGCAGGCTGGATGCCCACAGAGGGTGGGCTGGATGCCCAAAGGGCCGGATGCCCTCACCTGGACATACGTCTGATTTCTAACGGACCAGGTGAAATGGAGTTAGGAAAGGAAGCAGACCGGGGGAAACTGAGGGACTCACCGGAAAATAGTCCATGCAGCGGAGAGCGGGCTGAGGTCCCAGGTCAGGGAAGGAGGGTGCAGGACCACCATGGCTTGTCGAGGCCCCATGCTCATGCTCCTTCCTGGAATTCAGGCACCAAATGTAAGATAAGTTCTAGCTGAAATAAGCAGGCAAAGAGAGGCAAGAAAGGGCCAGGTAGTTTATTTGAATGCAAATTCCCGGGTGATGTTCTGTGGTCTGCCTATCACAGGCTGGGGAAGTCACACTCAGCAGGGCAGGCAGTGAGTTTTTAAAGAAGATAGGGGGAGGCAGACTTAGATTTACAGTGTTGCCAGGATTGGCTAGCCTAAGGCACATTTTTCAGGTTGGTAGGGGGCAGCAGCTGGGGACTTCGGCACGTCATCAGTGTCTGACGTGCTCACCCCTCTCCCCAGTGCCTTCAACCTTATACTTACTAAATTAGTCTTTTTCCTAGGTTGCAGATTACTTGGTTAGGATCAGAGAAGGAAATATAGCATATAGGTACGGTTAGAATAAACTGGACCTTTTAGGCTAAGGTAAATTTTACAGTGAAGTCACGGGTTATGCTGAGACACTTTTCCTTATCTGCAGAACACTCAAACATTCTAGGCTAAGTTGCTGCTGGCCTTTTGAGTTTTAACTGATCTCACTGAAGATGTCTATATTCCCAGTCTGGTATCTCTACCCTAGAGAATTAGTGTGACTTTGACTTTGCGTAATGCTTATCACAGAGTTCCAATAGGGACTTCTTTGCACATTGCTTCATTGTTCTGATGGTAATTATCTTGCTCTGCTTTTTCTCCAGAGGCCCTCATCCTACTCTGCCTAATCCCACGGTCCCTGTCTCATCATTATTGGATGAGAGTTTAACAGTATTTATCTGGTAATTCCTGTGTTAACTGGAAAACATCACAGATGTATTGCCATAATTTTCTTTTATACTGATGTAACCTTCTATACAGTTTGCAGAGTTTTATAAAATCATTCATTATTTTAGCAGGTAGTTTGATGCAAAGATTGTACTCAGTTTATTAAAGTCCAACAAACCTCTAAATATTTAAAATTAAATAAATTATCAATGAAAAACCCACAGACACATACTTTTTTGAAATTTAGTCATGGCATTAAAATAATTCTCTCAAATTAAGGCACAAAAAGGGCAATTCAATTCCTTTCAAAAGTGTTCTAAGAATAATATACACTTCAAACAGTACATATATTTCTTATGTGTGTTAATTTAATGTCTTTATCAGTTGAAACCATAAATACATTATACAATTACAGAACTGATGTATGCCACAAAATGCTCTTAAAATTGCTTCTAATGTTAGTTCCTAATGTCTCTGGTAGTAAAATAACTCAGTATGGCTTGGCAAAAATGCATAGATTAAATGTAACTTTTTTTTTTGCCATCTCCCAATTCCCAATCTACCGACTTGCTGAAACACATACAGTATTTTGTAAAGCATAATGTAAGATATTATTCTCCATCAAGTCCACTATGGGCAACCCAACAGTGAATCTTAAATTCTGGAGTGAGGGCACTGAAGTCAAGTGATGTCACTGCTTTCTTAAAATAGTTTTGTATAGTTTTGTATAGTCTTGCAAGACCACAGAACCTGAAGTCATTGAAAAGAATTTTGGTTGTCTCATTTTGACATATTTTCTTTATTCCTTCCATGAGCTGATCTTGATAGTGATGTCCATTCCACATGAAAGTGAAAGTCCCTTCCTCACTCATATGAGAAAAACTGTTCTATGATGACTGAGAGGCATTTTCTGAGAAATTCAAAGAGGCAGCACCTTTAAAAATATATATATATGTATCTAGCTAAGCTTTCCCACAATTATACTTGCATTACATAGTAATAATTAATCTAATCTACCTGTAGGCAAACCCACAATAAAAAAAACAAGAAACAAAAACCCTCAGTGTGCTTTTCTGCCAAAGCAAGGACAGAGTAACCCCCATCTTGACCCTGAAGTCTGTGATACTTCTGATTGTGCCTTTCAATTTTCCTTTTCCTTCTTTTTCAAATCCTGTGTATTAGCTTTCTTTCTATCAATTGTAAAATCTTCCCGATTCATTATTTCTTCCAACTTGTTAACAGACTGTGTTTTTAGGGTTTGTTCCATGTAGATATTCTTTTCAAAGGCAGCCTTAAGATCACTAATCTCTTCCTCTTTCTTAAATTTATATTCTTCCTCTACCTTCCTCATTTTATTCATCAGCTCTTCATTTTGTTTTCTTAATAATTCAGTATCTTTGGTAAGCATGCTGTTTGTTTCTTCAAGCAGTCTAACAGTGTGATCTTTATCTGTACTCTCTTGTCTATTTCTTGAAGCAGCTTTCTTGCTTTCTTGGGTCAATTCAAAATACTGCTCTTCCAGAAGCCCTCTAGCCAACTGCTCACACTCAGCTTTTGTTTCTGCTAGATCCAACTGAGTGACAAGGGTTTCTTTTTCATTTTGTAGTTCTTGCATTTTCTTTAAATTCTCTCTGTTGTTTTCTTCAATTTGTTAAGTTCCTTTACCTGGGTCTCATAAAGTGTCGAGAAATATTGCTCAACTTCAAGCAGATCTTGCACCTCCTGCATCTGTCCTCCATTTCCTCTATACTGTTTTGTAAACTGAGCTAACTCGAATTCTAATAATCTCTTTGCTTCCAATAAAGTACTTATTTCCTGTTTCATCTGCTTTTCGACCTTTAAAGTTATCTGCTTCAAATGCTTGAGTCTTCAATTCATTTTGTAACAACAGTCACTTATTTGATTCTCCCTCCAACTGAAGACTTAGACTCTCAACTTCATCCTCCATTCTCTCTTTATTTTCTATCAAATGCTCAAGCTTCTGCTGTGATTGTTTCAGATCAGCATCTAGCATGGAACACTGCTTCTCAACCTGAACAAAACCCTACTTTCAGCCTCCTCGTGAGCCTCTGTTCCTTTATCCTTTTTTCCATCTCACACATTGCAACAGATTTTGCCTCTTCAATAGACTGATGTTTGCCAGTTAAACAAGCTTTGGTTACTTTATGTTCATTTACCTCTTGTTCTAACCATTGTTGTAATGATTTAAGTTTATAGTTTAAATCTATTTCTAAATTATTCTTTTCCTTTTCTGAGTGATTAAGCATGTCTTGAGCTTCTTTTCTTTCTCTTTCCACTCTTTCAAGATTATGTTTGAGATTCTTCACCTCCTCTTGTAAAGATGTAATTTGAGCCACTCATCCATCTCGGAAGCATGACCTCTGTCTCTTCATTCAGCTTCTAACACAGCTTGCAGCTGGTAATAATCCTTGTCCATCTGTGACTTGGAATTCTCTAAAATTCTATTTCTCTCCTGCAATTTTCTGGTTAGGGACTCTAGCTGACTAATCGATGTGCTCATCTTTGTGAAACTCTTCCTTAATCTTACAGCTGTGTCTACCTCTGTCCTAAGTAACATTGACTTTTTCAAGCTGCTTTAGTGATTGTGCCAGCTTCTCATTAGCAAGCTGTGAATTATGATTTATTTTAAGTCTTCCAACTGATCCTTCAATATTGAAAACTCATATTCTACATTCCTCCTCTTATTTTCCTGTTCTGCTTTTCTTTGGTATTCATTAATTCTATGCTGTAGCAACATTTTCTCCTCAATCTGAGACCCTGTAGATTCTAGATTTCTTCTTAGATTCCCTCTTCATTCAGTTCTTTCATTATCTTGTCTAGTTTTATGTTTGAAGCTCTGTACTTAATTGCATTTCATTATGCAGCTGTTCTTCCAGTTTATACATGTTTTTTTTGCGAATTTCCAGCAAGCTTTGATCCACATTAGAGCTAGTTCTATTATCATTAGGATTAGCTGAAGACAAATATCTATGATTGCCAGAATATGTAAATCCTACAAGAGGTAGCTGATTGCCAACAAAAGCATTAGGTATAGGGAATATTTCTTCATCTATTTCATCATCTTCTAAATCATCAAAGTTACTTGTATCAATGTCACTGCTTCAATCTGGTACAATTGGTGCTAGTGTCTCAGAGTGTTTCTCAAGCCCTCAGATCATTTTTGAAGAAGAGATGTTGTTTGATTTCTTCTGCACCATTTCGCCCGAATCTCACCTCTCGCTCAGTAAGGAAGGCACAACTAAGACTTTTTGCTTCTTCTGATATGTCGTCATCATCATGGAAGATAAGTGGATTTTTATGGTTCATAATATTACTAAAAATTCCAGGCAGAGAATCTGCATAAAAAGGTGTGTCACCTACAAGCATTTCATATAAAAATACCCCAACTGCCCACCAGTCACATTCTCGTCCATAATAACCATCAGCAATTGGGGAGTTAATACTTCAGGGGAAATATACTCGGGTGTTTCCAACTGCTCTATCACATTGTACCATACCTTCCTTATTCATCTTCATGCAAGAACCAAAATCTGCTAACTTCAAATGTCCACATTTATCCAGCAACATGTTTTCAGGCTTCACATCCCTATGAATGAAACCCATGGAATGAATCGCATTCAGTGCAAGAACTACTTCCATAGTTTAGAATCGTGCCCATTTTTCAGGCACATCATAGTTGTTTATTAAGTTTCCAAGATCTACACCAGGCATGTATTCCATCACTATGTAGAGGTAATGATAATATTGGAATGCATTAAAAAAGCTGAATGACCAAAGGACTGTTAGCAAAAGCCATGATGTCCCTTTCTTCCGAGAAAAAAGCAGAACTGGATCTTTTAATCATTTCAAATTTGTTGAGAAGCTTCATAACATACACCTGCCTGGTGGATTTATGCCTTACCAATTGAACTTCTCCAAATGCACCGCTACCGATCACCTTCACTACTTCATAATCTTCAGCTTTCATTCGTAAATCTCTAATTGCATTTATTGTGTCTTTATATCTGCTTAAAAAGTCAATATTTTTGTGGTATCTTAAGGCAGGAAAATCTAAATCAAATATCAGAGCATCCAGTCCACCCAGCAAACAATCCAAATTCAGTTCTGATCTGGGTTCCTGCAACAGGTCATTGATTTTTTCAAACCGAGTCTCAAAACTGTCCCCAGTCGACATGCTGCTGTTACTGTGAGGGTACCCTCGTCCCAGCACCAGCAGAAAGCAATGACAACATCCTTCCGTGGTGGGTTCACGGCCGCGGGGCAGATGAGACGGAACCTCAGGGTCACCAAGTGCACCCGACTCCCTTTCTCCCCTCACTGAGGGGATCTCCACTCTCTGGACTTGGGGCTGTGGGCTACAGCGGCCCACAGCTGCTCGGACTCCCTAAGTCGCTTCCCATGCAGCAGCCCCTCTTGACAGCCAACAACGCTGTTGGCACCAGCCTCGTCATCTGGTGAGCTGCCACAGCCTAGCGGGCCCCAGCTGCCTTTGCCGAGGAGGGCTCCCTGTCCCAAGGAGGGCTCCCTGTCCCCAGCCGGGCAGGACGGGGAGAACAGGAGAAACAGGGTGGAGACCCCTTCTGGGCAGCAGGGAAGGCAAAGAGGGAAGGCACACACAAAGGGCAGGTGCGGAGCTGTGCCCGCTGCTGCTGCCACTGTCACCTGGGCCATGGTGTGACATTACTGTCCCATTTGTGATGTCACTGTGGAGGCTGTTGGGGTTGCTGCCGTGGTACCCAGCAGGGCGGTGTGAGGTCAGTGCCTGATGTGGGCTTAGGAGAGGAAAGGCTGGAGAACCGGCAGAGAGGAAGGCTAGAGTTGGCCAGCGGCTGACAGGGGAGCTTCTGGGAGAGGCTGCGGCCCCGCCTCTGATGTGAACTGTTTATCCTACCTAATACAACCTTTTTTTTTTTTTTTTTGGTTATAGCTATTACAAAAAAAAATTATTTGATGATGTTCTGCTTTAGGCACTTCTGCCCACTATATATGTATACATGTACACACAATATATGCAAAAATCATCTTAAAATATAAAATAGTTTTATCAAATATAAATAGTATATAAATATATAAATAAATATAATATTGAATTATCAAACCCAGGACCTTTACATAAGGGATTCTAGACCCTGTGTAAGATTGTTAAGAAGTCTAGAAAGCTCTGGTATGTGCAGGTACATCTTGGACTGATGAATTTTTAAAATCTCTACCTACCTTAAATTCTCAGAATTTAAACCCTCTCTTTAAAATCAATTCAACAAACAACTCATAACTAGCATGAGCTAAAATATGAGGACAGGTACTGAAATAACATGATTTTCACTTAATTCTTGCTTTCAGCTGAATTCATGCTAACAGTTTTGAGTCTACTTTATCCTTTGAAAATGTGTTATCTGTAAATTAGGGGAAGCCTATTTCAAGGCCTCAGCTATAAAACAAAGCATTGTATACATACTTGGCACTAAGTAAATTATCAAAAAAATGATAAATATCATTAAATAATTACCTAAATTTCTAAAATGTTCAAATATCTGTAATAAGAAAACAAAATTCTTGGAATGGTTTTTCTCTGCCTTTTCAGCAAGTGAGTGCACACTTCTCAATTTCCCTCTATACCCACAAAAAGCAAGGCACTGAATGAGAGGCTCTGTGAAGTATGCTGGTGTTATCACTCTGCTTATTTGAATTCTATGCATTCTTTTTAAGCTCAAGGCTAAAATAGAAACTAAGCAGTGGATTGAAGTCATTTTCAGACTTAAAAATTGAAAACACAATCCTGTACTTTTTCAATTGTACACGTAAAATATTCTTTTCTAGGAAAAAAATATAACTCTTCAGAAACTGAACTACTGTGTGACAGGCTATTTTCTTTTCTGTTATGATTTATTTTTCTACCTGTGTCTAACCACCAGTTATTTTCTTTTGTAAATCAAATGGCTCCTTTGTATCTATCCCCTTTACAGTTCTAGCCTCTATAAAAACTGCTTCTACTCTGATTAAAGCAACTTACAAATTTTGGACATCAGTTGAGAAGCATAACATCAGTTAGAATGTCAGAATCATATACTAGGGCTAAAAAACAATCTTAGTAGTTCTGTATCCCAAAAGTTTAATTTTACAAATGATGAAACAAAGGTTCAGAGAAACTTCAAAGAAGGTTCTGATCCTCTTAACCTCTTTCACTTATTTACTAGAAAAGCCCAGAGTTTATTCCGGATTCCTAACCCAGAGCCAATGTTGTTTTCAGAATCCTATGCTGTCACCCTGTCTCTCCCCCATGTAAAATGCCCACATTTCCTAATATAATGTTTGCATATAACATTTCAGATATTATTACTTTCAGTGGTACCTCAAGTCATATTTTAGATCAGATGTCACTTTACTTTCTACATAGGAAATAAAGAATTTGAGAAACTAATTCCAAATCTGCAAGAAATCAATTTTCCATTTCACAAAATTCAACTAATAAAACATATGACAACTGAAGTTTTCCCAAAGTGATGCTAAATAATATTGAGCATATGACAAGGATCCATAACATCAGGAACAAAAAGAGACAAGGAAAGTCCTATGGTGACTCAAAAATGTATTTAAACAGTCACAAAGACCTCCAGTTAAAATGGCAAAATGAGCTCACATTTTGATGCAATTAACCATGGGAGATAAGATTGAAAAACAGAAAACCAAAACAAATTTTCCACACATAAAAATAAAACAAACATCCTCAATAGACCAGAAATAGGATATAAATTCTGAGCAATGATCAAAGCTGTGACTTTGGAGACAATTGATCCAGAGGCCATTATAACATCTAATTCTGGACAAAGGCCCTGTGGTGCCAATGGAGGCAACTCCTATCAGGGGCGTAGGTAAAGCAGTGATTCAGAGAGAAAATAGATAAATAAATTGATAAAACAATCATGGTGAGCTAGCCAACACAAATATAAATTACATGGAGAAAAGTAAGGCTAAGAAAAATACCCAACCCCTATATAGCATATATTTATTCAACATGCAATTAATTTTACAGAATAAAAACTTTCACAGAAAAAAAATGACGAAATATTTTATATAAATAGTTATAAAATGCATGAAGAATAGTGAAACACTAAGCGTGAAAGTTGTTAACACAATTAGCAGAAATATAAAAGCAGGTGGTATGGGAAAAAAAGCTATTTAGAATCTTGAAAATAAAATAATGTAGTTAATAAAATGCCACTAGAATAGCCATGGTCTCTTAGGAAAATAACTACTGAACTGGAAAGGTACTGATAGATTCCCATACAGTAGTAGTTTAAATAGTCTCAGTCATATATCTTTGAATAGGCTTTGCAGAAGAAGTCAATAGAACAAATGGCTGTTTCCAGTTTGGAAGCCTATCCCTAGCATAGGGCAGGATAAAGATAAGCTCACATCTAGACACATCAAAGTAAACTGCAGAAGGTGAGAAATAAAAATAATATTTCTAAGACAACAAAAAAAGTCTACCAAAAGATAATTTTGAAGAGTGGACAAGTTCATAAGCAAAATAGCTAAATGATGCTAAAAGATAATGTAATATTTTTGCATTGCTTTGGAAAAGTAACTGTCAAGTCAAAATATAATAACCTACCAATTATGTTCCTAATGTGAAGACAAAGTAAAGATATTTTCTAACATCTCAAGAAATAGTGAGGTTACCACACAGAATTCAAACCAACAAAATTTCTACTGGACGCATTTCTTCCAGATGAAATAAAAAACCACAGAGAATATACAGGACAAGAACAGCAATTAATAAAATGTACCAATAAAAATATTTCACTGTTGATAATAAGACCATTATTTTTTATGTTTAAAAGCACTCAGTGAATTTCAAAGCAATGATGACAAGCTGCCAGGCTACAGGATACATGGGCAGCTAGCACACAATAAAAGCCTTGTCAGGTGTAAGATGAGATAGTCATGCAGAATAAATTTAAATTAA